ATACATACATACATACATACATACATACATACATACATACATACATACATACATACATACATACATACATACATACATACATACATACATACATACATACATACATACTCACGTATGAAGCATGTGACACTCATAGCACACTAAACCAATACATCGCATGGGTGAACAAGGTAAGAATTTAACAGCGTTCAGACAAGCACCTCCAGTCTGTTAATCGCAGTCATAAAGCCATAAAGTCTTACAGTTGAAGTCAGGGTAACACTTGACTTACTGTAGTATATGAAACAGGGCCGCTCGAGATTTTCGACGTACGGTCTACATTAAAAACTAGCCAGCCCGATAGTCTGGTTGAAAATTTAGATAACATGTTCCGTACATATGAGTAAATTCACCATATCTTAAAATCTATTTTTCAAAATGAGCGTTACATTTAGACTTGACAATTACTGTTTGAACATTGAACTATCGCATCCCAAGCTCAAAGCACTGCGTTGACATATATACTCTCCCCAAAAAAGAAACGCATAGGAATTTCAGCTGTATTTTTATGTTTCTTTTGAAGGATCTTGTAGGCTTTATGAGTAAATGAAATATAGCGAAATTGCACACTGGGAATGCAGACTTATCCGTCTTTGGCACCAACTCGAGGAAAGTCAGTTTGAGTGTCACATGGAAACGTGTGGTGGCGCTGAAGTCAATACCTCGTGTGACCACCGTGGGCATCCAGAACTGCACGGCATCGCTTCGGCATCGAACGAATAAGTCTAAGAATCTCGTGTTGCCCAATCGCAGCCCACTCTGCCTGTAGTGCCTGTGCGAGTTGCTGAAGTGTCTGGGGCTGAGGGTTACGACGTCGCACCCGTCTGTCCAGGGCATCCCACAGATGTTCGATCGGGTTTAAGTCCTGTGATCTTGAGGGCCAGGGGAGCACATTGATGTTGTGGTTCAAGAGGAAGTCTCTAGTGTGACGTGCTGTGTTGGGCCTGGCATTATCCTGTTGAAACAACTCCCTCTTGCGATCAATGATTGGAAGGAGGTGTTGGCGTAGGATTATATCGATGCCTTTCCACGTGGTGCAGAATATACAATGACGGTACACTACATATTACAATATATTAAAACAAATATACACGACAAACATAAAACATAAATTCTAGAGCATGGAAGATCAATTTTGAATACGAAAAGATAGTAGATGTTAGATGTGCGGAATCAAGTGAAATATTACAAATTTTCTTAACATGCACTTATTTTGGTGAAATAATAACATAGGTGGCGAACAGGGAAAAGTGTGTCTTATTATTCAGTTTTAAAGATTAATCATCGCAACAGGAAAGAATAAAACTTGGAAGGAAACGTGTCAGATGGATATATTTTGGATTGTACATTTTTCCGATACTACTTCAATGCATATTTGTAACAAAGAGTGCTTAGAATTAACAAAACACCTTTCTGCTTTTCATTGTACATTTCTGATTAGCTGGACTTTTCTCAGCGTAATGTTGAATTTGACTACTTATACGTATAACGATACATGTACTATATTCCAGTCAGACCTGTGTATGGACTTGTGAAACTAGGAATGCTACCAATAACACCTGGACAGTGTTTAATGTGTAATAAAGAGTGTGATGGAGTTATAAAACACCAACTGGTTTATCGTACATTATCTGATTCAAGGAGCATACTTTATGTGCATCTAGTTGACAAATTAAACCTCGAACATTGCATGTGTATTGAAGACTGTGCATATGACAAATCGAGAACTGTGACAACATTAGGGGTATAAACCCTAGTTTAGTTAATATGAGCCTCGACGTTTGGCTGATTTCATAGCATGTGCATCATGAGACAGACAGGTGTGTCAGCTGTCAGTGTTTTTGTAATCTTACTCATTTTGCATGTCCCATACATATAAAATACATGAGCTCTTCTCATTTATTTTCCAGCGAAACCCGTCCACAACTATACCGAGATCCATCATGTTGTACCCATGCTGATAAATGGAGAAGATTCGAACATAGAATTGCAGTTCGACAGGCATCGGGGATTCTTGGCCTTTCACAGGAGGTCTTAGCCTTTTACAGGAAATCTTGGCCTTTCACAGGAGGTATTGGCCTTTCACAGGAGGTATTAGCTTTTCACAGAAGATCTTGGCATTTCACAGGAGGTTTTGGCCTTTAACAGGAGGTCTTGCCCTATCACAGGAGATCTTGGCCTTTCACAGGAGGTCTTGGCCTGTCACACTAACCTCAAACATGTTCATTGGCCAGGAAGCTGTTTCTTGTATATCACGGAATGTTCTGAATTTTACAAAAGTGCACAATTATAGGCTTATATATTTGACAGAGGTGTCTGTCTCGTATATTTCCATGTTGTATTACTTAGTATGATAACTTGAAAGACCTTTGTGGTTCTACTGAAATAACAAAAGAAGACATAATGGTTGCTTTACACGTTCCGAAACTGTTCTTTATGTTTGTAATGATGTCCATGTTTATTGTGTGTTTGGTTTTAATTCTACATCAAGATATTCTACTGAAAGAAAAGTATATTTTCAATCATTCTGAAATACATAATTGGACCCAGGACCTCAACATTTCATATGGAAATCTTAACACAACTGGACCAAGCTTCAACAACACGATGCTTCCTGATGATGTCGTCCAGGACGTGTTTTCAAGATGGCGAACAACCACGTCACGTGACAACACTCTAACGGTGGCATTCCGTGGTCGTCTGGGAAACAATATGTTTGAGTATGCCTCATTGCTAGGAATTGCTGTCAGTACAGGAAAACAGCCTCTTATTCCAAAATCAAACCAACTCAACAGACTCTTTAATATATCTTTCATCGGGGACATGCGCAATCAGCCTTCGACGCGTGTTTCGGAGAGACAATATGGCGCTTATGACCGCAAGCTCCTTACACTGCCCGGTGGAAATGTTGAAGTCTGGGGGTATCTTCAATCATGGAAGTATTTCCACTGCATCAGCGCCTCAATAAGAAAAGAGTTCATCTTCAGAAAAAAATACATCGATCTCAGTGGTCAGTGTTTTGAAAAATACACAAATAAGCATAAAAACCGAACTGTTATTGGGATTCACGTTCGACGCACAGATATGACTTCTGGAGGAAAGAGAGGCTATGTGGCTGCCCCTTTGTCGTATATTAAAAAGGCCATTGCACATATGAACACAAAGTTTCACAACCCTCTGTTCCTTATAGCTACTGATGACAAAAATTGGTGCAGAAAATATCTTGTTTCCTCGGACATAATACTCATGGAAAATTCAGATCCCTTTGTAGACTTTGCGACCATGACCTTGTGCGACCACATGATAATGACCGTGGGGACATTTGGATGGTGGGCTGCTTGGCTTGGAGACGGGTACGCTGTATATTACAGAGATTTTCCCAGGCCAGGATCGGAGTTAGCTAGCGGTCTCATAAAAGAAGACCACTTCCTGCCCCACTGGGTTCCTCTTGGTGCTTGATAATGCTCATGTGAAGATCCGGGAATAAAGCTGAGTGCGGCGTAAAAGTAAAGTCAGTCGCTTACTCATATGCTGCGACTCGAATTGCCTGCCTGTATTTCTGCTTGTGTTGTTTGTTAATCGACTGCATGTGTCAGAATATGTTCTTGAAACACTATGAATACAGATATCACTACCACTTATCATTAATGTGATGTGTTTAGTACAGACCCGAGTATAATAATAACATTCCCTGGAAACCCCCAGACAACAGTACTTACAGTATCCTCAACATAACATGTAATTTAGTGGGCGGTGGGATAGTCTAGTGGTTAAAGCGTTGGCTCGTCACGCCGAAGACCCGGGTTCGAATCCCCACATGGGTACAATGAGTGAAGCCCATTTCTGGTGTCCCCCGCCGTGATGTTGCTGGAATATTGCTAAAAGCGGCGTAAAACCAAACTCAGTCAGTCAGTCAGTGCAATTTAGTGATTATCTGATATTTTAATGATAATATTTTGACAATGAGAGAACTTCATGTTGGTGACTTGTTCGAAAGGATAAAATATTCTTGGATAAATCCAGGAATGTCATCACCATAAAGATCCGGGTTTGAATTCGCCTTCAGCAACCCATGCTTGTCGTGAGAGGCGACTCACGGGATCGGGTGGTCAGGCTCGCTGACTTGACCCTTGTCATCGTATCCCAATTGCGTAGATCGATGATCATGATGTTGATCACTGGATTGTCTGGTTCAGACTCGATTATTTACTGACCGCTGTAATAAAGCTGGAATATTGCTGAGTGCGGCGTTAAACAACCGACCAACCAACTAAACTTCAAAAATTCCTAAAACTTCAACCTCCCAAAATTGTAAGATGGCACGGTTCTCTTGACGATTCTGAAATATTCTCAAAATGTGATTTGGGGCACGCATATGCCACAGGAATCATGAATCTCTTATCCATCCAGAATTAACTACAAACTTACTATGGAAAATAGCCTATGTTCATCACAAGTTCCAAGTAAAATTAGCATCTGTTGTGAAAATAGCTAGCATGAAAATCTTTGCGAGACAGTGTGCCCTATGTGACAAGTATGTACAAAACTGCGCAAAACATGTACTCCTAAACTTTGCAACACTCAATGAAGACAGAAAGAGCGTCTTTGGGGCACTGGCACCAATGATTTGGTTAAATTCTGTGACCAGAGTGATGAAAAGATCATCAACTTTATACTAAGTGATTAATGTTTTTATTGCTATTTTACAAACTTTTTGTTCAATTTTAATCACGGAATGTGACTTTTAGAATATCCTTTACAATATATCAAAAGTTTTGTTTTCGTTTGTTTTCTCCTTTAATCATTTGGACTTTCAGTTTGGATTCAAGTAATCCTAAAACTTTCTGAATTCGTTCACAAATGTAGACAATATATATGTCCAGACACTAACTAGTCATTATATCAGTATGCAGTATATACTGAAATGTATGTATGCAATATCCCTGTACATCCCAGTATTGTGACAGAGTTGCCTTTTATTTCTAAAAATGATGGGTGACATTTGTCTGCAGTTTGTGCAGCTGTGTCCATTACAAACCAAGGAACCTGTACCTCCGCTTGAATGTCCCCTCAGTGATTGGAACCTGGAAAGATTGCAGAAAACACATACTAGACAGTTACATTAAAAGAACTAAAACACATTTCATATTAACAATCATATTCAACGTAATATGGTAGTTACGAGAGTTGAAATGTCAATGTAAGGTGAGGTGAAATGGGGTTTAACGTCGCACTTAATAATATTCCTCTCATATGATGACGTGCATGCGTGTGTATGTGCGGCTGCTTGTACTAGCCCAGACTTAAGCTGGTTTTATAGTGCTAGCCCACTGAGATACCATGCCGCAGTGAAGCATGTATACCCCACTCAGACACATTATACTGACTCCGAGCCGACCAGTCCTGGTTGTACCCATTAATGCCGAGCGCCAGGCAGGGACCAACAAGTACCATATTTTAACGTATTTTGCTATGATGTGGCCGGGGATCGAACCCGCGCCCTTCCGCTCTCCGGGCGGACGCTCTAACCACTACACCACGGAGTCGGACAAATGCCAATGTAATGGTCTACAAATTTGCTAATAACTTCAAATGTCAACTTAGCACATTAAGATTTGAACTTATAAAGTTGGCATATGTTAAGAAGCTGTGTGTTGTGTAGTAGCATAGGCACAGTTTTCGACTCTCATGTAAGTTTAGTGATGAGTACTGACTGAGTATGGTTTTACGCCGCTTTTAGCAATCTTCAAGCAATATCAAAGCAGGGGACACCAGAAATGAGCTTCACACATTGTACCCATGTGGGGATTCGAACGCTTTAACCACTAGGCTACCCCACCGCCCAACCCGTTACGTCAGACATAACAGTTCCCTGGTACGTCTGCTAAAAGACTGAAATATTATGCACACAACCTTTGGGAAAACTTACAAACTTGCTGATAAAACAGTCAATAGGTCCAGTAGGGGAAGTAAGTATTAAAAGATTGGGTTACAAACTTTACACAAATGTGTTTATTTGTTTCATGTAATGTATCTCGAAAAAAACGATGAAAAACAAACAAACAGCCCCCCTCTCCTAAAAAGGCGTGAAATACAATCACGAGCTCACGATCTTGAAAACTGAATATACGAACTTGAAATTTCATCTTATTTTCACAATGAGTCTTGAAAATCAAACGTTAGCTTACATTTCATGCCATTTGAAGTTGGTATCATGAATATACAAGAAAACCATACGGGCTAGAAGTGTTCTTCAGGAACACATGCTTGTCGTAAGAGACGGCTAACGGGATCAGGTGGTCAGGCTCGCTGACTTGGTTGACACGTGTCATCGGTTCCCACGTGTGTAGATTGATGTTCATGCTGTTGATCACTGGATTGTCTGGTCCCGATTCGATTATTTGCATTCTGCCGGCTCATAGTTGAAACTAGTTGGAAAATTGTTGAGTGCGGCGTTAAACAACAAACAATGTTCTCTTCCCTTCATCAGCTTGCGCAAGAAACGGACTTGCTAACAATGATCCCTTAGTTTTAGATGAGTGAGTGAGTGAGTGGCTTTAGCTTTACGCCCCTTTTAGCAATGTTCCTGTAAGATCACTGCAGTGGACACCAGAAATGGGCTTCATCTATTGTACATATGTGGAGAATCGAGCCCGGGTCTTCGGCGCGAACGCTTTAAGTAACAAGTAACAAACAAACGGATGACGAAGTCCTACCTGGTTGCAGGAAGGAGGAGGAGTAAACACGGAAGGGTCATTGATTCCTTTGGTGATATTAAGGAACCCCACTGTTTCAAACACTCGCGCTTAAAAGGAAACACAAGATGAAACATTTAAAAATATGTTATTAGATTGAATGAGTTAAGAGTGAGTTAGTCACATGGACAGTATTTCAGACACATCGTGACGAGAACAGGTTATACACTCGTGAAACCTAAACACAGTCTACAAATTCCTGTCGACGAAGGATAGTTAAAACGACTTGAAAATCATATATACGTAAAACAAGCATATCAATCTAAAGTATTTTACTCGTAGAGAAAATACAATGTATATAGATCACAGCCAACTGAAGGCAGATCACCCCCACTAAGGTGAGTGAGGGAGTGAGTTTAGTTAATAGCCCATTCAAAAACATGTCGCCACTCACCATTGATGTGAAATATATCCGTTTCTTGGAGACTTTTTGCTCAAAGTTCCCTCTCCGGTATTAATCGATAATCTATAGATGTGTAGTTAACGGGTATCAAGCTCTATGATCTATATCGATAGACAGCCACCAAGATGGGCATATTACCAGTATTTGCTGTTCCAGTAGCGACTTCGCCTACAGGGTAGCATTCGGTGCCGTCTGGGGACACGGTGAGGCCGATATCGACGTTGACACTGGGGGCTTTCTGATTCCAAAAATATGTATCCCCTGGAAGTCGGTTCTTTCCGCCACCAAAATACACAGACTGACCTTTCACAGCGTTGTCTGGATATAAAGAGGAATAAAATTTAAATACATTGGACTAACGAATCATTTAATGATCGTCTCAACCCTGTACAATGTTCTATTCATTCACGTCTGTGCATCCTAAGGCTGGAGTAAGCGACTATGGTTTACGCGGCTTTTAGCATTATTCTAGTAATATCACTCAGGAGACAGCAAAAATGGGCTTCACTCATTGTACCCATGTGGGGAATCGAACCCAGGCGTTTGGCGTAACGAGCGATCATTCTAATCACTTGGCTACCCCATACATATTATGGCTTCCTTAAAGAACGAATAAACTTTGTTTTTGTGTACACTTTTAACCATTACATATGAAAGACTTGTGGTTAGTCTTCAGCGGAAGACCAAATTCATTCGTTAAAGACTTGTGTTTAATTAATACCGAGCCATTAAAAGTTGCCAAAAAGCCGTCTACTTCACTCTCGCCCGCCAACGAAACCACAGAGAGGTTACGTAACACTGCAGTGAACCGGAAGTGACGTCATTTGAAGAAAGATTTTCAGTCAGTATATAAAGTGTGTATTAAGCTCGTCATTTTGCTGATTTTTCTACGTTTTCATAGAGTAAAAAAAATTAAAACTACATACCAGTTGTAGTAAAATATGTATATGATTGATAACCAAATTGATTTTGCATGACACAACTTGTAACATAATGATTTCTTCTTCAGAAGGGAGGTTGGGGTCGAAGTACTGGCACGGATTCTGATGGTATCATTAGTTGGGTGAAGCGTGCGATTTTTTAGATTAATTCGTCCTATAGCTCCTTAGATGGCTTAAAGACGTCAGAAATGGGCTTCACACAGTGTACCCATGTGGGGAATCGTACATGGGTCTTCGGCGTGACGAACGAACGTTTTAACCACTGGGCTACCGATTGCCTCGGCGAACATAGCGAAAAAAAGAAAAATATTTTGTAACGATGAAAGTCACACAGCTGAATCTTACCTGGGACACACGCTGGTATAATCGATCCAACGATCTTGCTTTTCGTACATTTGTTGGTCAGAAGGTCAATATTATACTGGATCCCCTGGGAAGGTAAAAATTAGGTGATCATGAAACTAGATTGTAAACTGATATTAAGGAAACTCTGTGCATCGAGAAATACAATGTACTTAACATTCTGTACTTTTTGATGTTAAAAAGTACAGAATTGCACTTGGACATTTCCGTCTCAGTTCACATATGCTTGTGATTGAAGAAGGAAGATGGAGTGTGCCTGAAATCCCACTTGTTGATAGATTATGTCCATTTTGTACTAACGAAATAGAAGATGACTACCAATTACTCTTGATTTGTCCAAAATATGGAGCAATACAAAAATAATATTTAAGTAATATATCATTGGAAAATATAAGTATGTTTAAGTTTACTCAATTGTAAATATGCGAAAACAGTTTTGAAGTATTAAAAACTGCGAAGTATATTTATAAGTTTAAGTTTAAGTTTTGTGTTATTTAGTTTTCATATATCCTCATTCTTGGGGAATTATGTTAGGATTGTTGTCTATATCAGTACCTCGCCATGTGCACAAAAACAATATGCAAATATTTCATTGAGTTGAAATGTATGGGTTCTTGTATGTATCTTGCCTTAACTCTTGCCTTAACTCTTGACTCAAATGTAAATAGCGTGAATTGACTTCGGATGGGCATCACCATGGTTACATGTCACTGGGTCTCCTTTTGACTTTACAAGAAATTGATTGTTTCTATCAAATATATATAGATACATCGAAAATCTCACCGACTGTCTTTTGATATCAAATAGACAAGTTGATAAAGATGCACTATTTTTACTGTTATCAACTTGTGTTGATATATTTGATATACGAAGACACAAGGGTGAGATCCCATTTATTATAAAAAATCATTCTTCATTAGTTTTCAATGAAAAATGTCCATCTCTGAACACGGTACTGCCATTAGACTTGCAGTGCAGCGATGTCATAGCATTGTGACGTCATCAAGTTCATGACGTCACAACATTGTCAGGGCATTGTATTAAATTAGGAGATAAACATCATGTGTTGGCCAATTTCCGGGTGTTATTGAGTATTTGAAGCACGGGAATTCATTTGGAACCGACGGCGTCAGCCGGAGGTTTCAAATGAAATATTCCCGTGCTTATATTAATATAACGATATTCATACTAATACATAGGTTTGTGAATACGGAAACAGACGTTCTTGTGTATTGGCTCAGCGGATCCTGATATCGTAAGGGTAGATTACTGAAAGTACCCACCTTGTTGTAGTTGTGTATGACTCGAATCACTGTCTGGACGGACCCAGCTGTGCTGTTCATGATAAGAGCAACTCTCGAGTTTGTTCCATCATAGGAGATGACATTTGTGACCTGGAACAGAGAGTAATAAAACAAGATAAGGCAGATGAAGATTATTACACTTATACAGCGATGTGTGCGTGTGTGCGTGTGCGTTCACTAATTCCACTGGTATATCGAAATTGCTTTGGAGGACGATTGGGGTAACCTAGCGGTTAAAGCGTCCGCTCGTCACGCCGAAGACCCAGGTTCGATTCCTCACATCGGTATAATGTGTAAAGCCCGTTTCTTGTATCCTTTGATATTGCTAGAATGTTGCTAAAGGTGGCGTCCAAACTTAAATCACTCACTTGAGGACTTGCACTTCAGTAGACGTACACTGTCTCATAATCCAATGCCGTTGATTGTGCAATATTTTGCCCTTGATTTTGCTTAACGTTTTACCGATACACCTAACTTGGAGTTAACGAACGGCAGACGGTGGGCTAGCTTGTCACACCGAGGATCCGGGTTCGATTCCCCACATGGGTACAATGTGTGAAGTCCATATTGCTAAAAGCGGCGTAAAACTAAACTCATCACTCACTCCCTCAAATTTGCTATGCCTTCAAAGCGGTTACCTCTCTTACCAACCATATTATTAAAATCTGTTGAAACCTGATTGAATAAGTATGTCGATATGGGTGCAATATAGTGGATGCGATGTGTCCTTTAACTGACTCACTCATCGAATAAGAGCCAAGCATTATTAGGTCATTGGGTCAGCTAACCGGGTATTGCTTTGATAGCTGAGTCTGTTGTTGTGACATATTTTAGGAATGTAGGGTTTCATCTAGACTAACATCTATATTGCAGAAAAACAACAACATCTTTTACGAAGCGCTGGAACTTGCGTGTTCACGTATTGGGGGTTTCTGACGAACGCTAAATATCCGAAGAGCTATTTTTTAGTTTCGTCAGAAAAAAAACACAAACCAAAAACCAAACCAAAATACCAGAAATGCTGCAGCCTTTCCACTCGTGACTGACTGTCCAATTACATTCTGAAGTCCTTCCCATTGTTTTGGCATACAGCAACCAGCCCAGCAGCACGACACGAAGGTCAAGACAAGGATTCCTCGTAGCATATTGGAGGCTCGGACACCACAGTCTTCTTGCTAGACTGAGGTACTCTTATCAATAAAGTCTGGACACGTTGATTCAACTATGATATAGAAGCACGTGACTCACATTGAAGAGGTCACCTTGAAGATAATACGTATTATTTTTCTATAACAGTCCCTGCAATGTGTTGGTTGGTTTACTCAGCAGTATTCCAGCTATATGGCGGACGTCTGTAAATAATCGAGTCCGGTCCAGACAATCCAGTGATCAACATCATGAGCATCGAGCTACGCAATTGGGTCACGATGACATGTGTCAACCAAGTCAGCGAGCCAGACCACCCAACCCCGTTAGTCGCCTCTCACGACAAGCATGGCTTACTGAAGACCAATTCTTACCCGGACCTTCACGGGTACCTGCAATGGGAGGTTGATTCTACGACACCTTATTAATATTTCCATCGTGCTATCGGTCATTCATCCATCTGTATGCAATACGAACATATAATTTGCTGTATTTAGCGTCTCAGTATGTACGACAATCTAGTGAATGATATTACGAACAACAGCTATTAATACTTTCATTATGTTATCGGTCATAATTCATGTATCTCTTAGTCCATCTCTCCACATATAGGCATCATGTGCAAGAAGAAAACAGCAAGCCTGGATTCAATACGACACTACGAGTGCACTTCCTCCCATCATGTCACTAAAGTACTGTCGGAAATAGAAAAAAACGTGTCTTTCTTTCATGAAGTTTATGTTGAGATATGTAAAAGAGTATGATACCTGATAACCATAGGAACGCATCGTATTAAATGTCGCAAAATATATAGATCGACAGGGCTGGATATTATTTGTAAATTGTTATGACATGCCGTGTACTTCCCCATTATAATTGCCCTAAAGGATTATCTTATCTTAGCTGATATCTCTATCCCCCAGCCCGACCCCAACGATCGTCTGCGACACCCGTCCTGGTTTTGCTTTTGAGACGAACCCTCCTATCTGTTTCTTTTTATAGTGACAGTGAGACTCCTTGGCAGCTACATCCTTAATTGTTTCAGGATGAAAGTTATTTTTTTTTACGCCAGCTATCGTTTATAATGAAGCTACGTCTAGTTTCAAATTGGGCATTTAAAAAGTGTCATTTGTAATACAATATCGTCGCACACTAATTTGCATAAAGCCATGGTCTGTTCCAAATAAGTCTTTTTGGACTTAGTTAAAACCGCATTGCTCATTTCTGCCCTAATCTCTCCTCAGTAAAGTCCTTTTTCTACGTTTCCTATGTCCCTACCACTGAGACTGTAGTTAGGCCGCACTTAGTTTAACAGGGTTTTTTTCTATTTCCGACAGCATCGAAGGTTCATCATTTCAGTAATACCATAGACCATCGTGGCTAACGATCTCACAGAGAGACACGTTGTTCAAAGAGATCATGTGAGATTCATAGCCGTGAAGGTCCGGGTATTGGTTAGCAGTCTGTGCGATCTTACTCACACTTCGTCTGTCCCTCGTGCTCACGCTTATCAGAAACAAACAGTTTATTCTTGATTGGCTCAAATAATTTACTGCTACATTGCCCTGATACACACAGGAGAATGACTGTGTTTACATGCGTGACGTCACGCTCTATACTTTAATCAGCCATGCATCGTCAGAGATGAATGCAATTAAAATTCAACCAAGTGTGCTGACTACAAAATGCACCACATTAGAAGCATCCATATCCGATATGCGTGATGAAGTCGATAGAATCAAACATGAGCAAGCGAGCGTATATACTGACATGGACACACTTGTACAGAAAACGATAATCTAGAGAAAGTAGTGGCAGCTCACGGGGTGCCGCTCACGAGTCAGAGATTGACAGACTAGAGCTTGAGGCGTTCAGTAGAAGGTACAGCATAGTCTTCTATGGTCTACCTGAACAACAAAATGAATCGTTTGAGTCGTGTAGGGATTATATCGTGTTAGTTTTGAATTAAAATGTGAAAACTAAGGAGTGGAATAGAGGCGGTATTTTAAGTGCGCATCGCATAGGTAGAAACTCCAGACCCGATAAACCACGCCACTTATAGCCAAGTTTAATCTCACTGATGAGAAGATCTCCGTACTCAAACATCAAGACACGTTGAGAAGTAATAATAATAATTTAATAATAATTGATTGATAGAGCGCCTATTTCCAACAGATATTGCTCAATGGCGCTATGAAGAAAAAGGATTGTAGACAATGTCTATGGAAAAGAGAGTTTGAACAGATGAGTTTTGAGGGCAGTTTTGAAAGCATCAGCAGATTCTATTTCTTTTAGGGTGAGTGGTAGAATGTTCCAGAGATAGGGGGCTGCAGCAGAGAACGCTCTTGATCCCATGGCTGTTTTGACGTGAGGCTGTGTAAGCAGTAGGGAGTTTGATGAGCGGAGCAATCGGCTTGGAACATGGAGATGAATGAGGCTTTTAAGATATTGAGAAAACATGTTTTCATAGATGCAGCTGTGTGTAAGAAGAAGAAGTTTGTATTGAATTCTGCTTGATACAGGAAGCCAGTGAAGAGTTTGGAGGATAGGTGTCACGGTTTGGTAGCGTGGCGCACGGGCAACAACACGGGCGGTTGAATTCTGAATCCGTTGGAGTTGTGGAAGGAGCTGTTGAGGAATGTTGTAATAGAGGGAGTTGCAGTAATCAAGTTTAGAGAGAACAAGGCTGGACGTTAGAAGCTGGGCGGTGTTGAAGTCTAAGAGGGTTCGGATCTTGCTAATATTGAAGATATGGTAAAAGCATCATTTGCTGAGTGATTTGATTTGATTTTCTAATGACATTGTTGATTGAAAGATGACACCAAGACCAAATAGTGGGATAGGCGTGGCTAACGATCTCACAGAGAGACACGTTGAGAAATAGTACGGTAGGCGTGGCTAACGATCTCACAGAGAGACATGTTGGGAAGTAGTGGGGTAGGCGTGGGTAACGATCTCAGAGAGAGAAACGTTGAGAAATAGTACGGTAGGCGTGGCTAACGATCTCAGAGAGAGACACGTTGAGAATAGTACGGTAGGCGTGGCTAACGATCTCACAGAGAGACACGTTGGGAAGTAGTGGGATAGGCGTGGCTAACGATCTCACGGAGAGACACGTTGGGAAGTAGTGGGGTAGGCGTGGCTAACGATCTCACAGAGAGACACGTTGGGAAGTAGTGGGGTAGGCGTGGCTAACGATCTCACGGAGAGACACGTTGGGAAGTAGTGGGGTAGGCGTGGCTAACGATCTCACGGAGAGACACGTTGGGAAGTAGTGGGGTAGGCGTGGGTAACGATCTCACAGAGAGACACGTTGGGAAGTAGTGGGGTAGGCGTGGCTAACGATCTCACGGAGAGACACGTGGGAAGTAGTGGGGTAGGCGTGGCTAACGATCTCACGGAGAGACACGTTGGGAAGTAGTGGAGTAGGCGTGGGTAACGATCTCACAGAGAGACACGTTGGGAAGTAGTGGGGTAGGCGTGGGTAACGATCTCACAGAGAGACACGTTGGGAAGTAGTGGGGTAGGCGTGGGTTACGATCTCACAGAGAGACACGTTGGGAAGTAGTGGGGTAGGCGTGGCTAACGATCTCACGGAGAGACACGTTGAGAAATAGTGGGATAGGCGTGGCTGTAAGGTAAAAGCATTTCCCCAACTAAATGCGTATGAGATGTACGTAGCAAAAACCCATAATATTGTCAAGGCTGGTAGACTCTCGGGCGGAGTTATGGTGCTTGTGCACCACTCAATTGCACAGTACTGTCAACAAATGGAGACCAGCATACACAATACTTTAAATTTTAGAATAGACAAATCTATTCTATTCAGTAACCCATGCTTGTCGTAAGGGGCGACTAACCTGATCGGGTGGTCAGGCTCGCTGACTTGATTGACACAGGTCATCGTATCAGAAACTTATGAGTGCGGAGTCGAATCCGATAAACTCTGTGATCTTCAGCCACCAGTGCTAGTTCTTATAGATGACTAACTGGATCGAATGGTCAGGCTCCATGACTTTTCTGACACATGACGTCGTATCCCAGTTGCGTAAATTGATACTCATGCTGTTGATCACATGATTGTCTGGTCCTGACTTCATTTTTTACAGACCATGTAGCTGGAATGTTGCTGTGTGTAGCCTTAAACAACAATGAAACAAACACCACTGCAAACTGTAACATCATTTTGGACTTTCGTCCCGAATCAAACCGACAGTAGTGATCTAATGTTCAGCCTGGGGGTGGTGGGGTAACTAGTGATTACAGGATGCCATTTAGAAAGTGGTTAAATGCATCATTTGTTATATTTGGGATTACACTTTCTAAATGGCATTCTGTAATCATAGCTTTCGGCCATGGGAGCTGTGCCAATTTACACTTATCAGAGGGGTACACAAAGTCCGCAGTCTAGACTACCAGTTGTCCGACTTCCATTTTAGTGGAAGCTGCGGTGGCTGAGCGGGTTAGGCGGCTGACTTTGTGTCCTGGCGATTAGTTGCCTGACTCTGAGATGGGACTCAACCCCAAAAGTACTAAAATCTGTACTTTACTAAGGAAGTATTATTCCAATTATAACATATGATGGGTTGCTAGTGGTTAAAGCGTCCGTTCACCCCACCGACAATTCGGGGTCCATGCCCCACAAGGTTAGAATGTGTGAATCCCGCCGTGATATTGCTGGAATATTGCTAAACGCGGCATAAAACCAAACCCGCTCACTCATATCAGCATGATTTCAGAGAGAACAACTCTAATTCTTGTTTCCACAGATCTGTACCTGGACATAGCTCTGACAGGCAACATTGTGTCTCCAATACCCGAAGCTGATGCCAACGTCTTCACCCCACCAGATAGTTGCAGCAGTTCGGTGAGACGTTCATGACGATGTTTATAAATATGTGATCGTCGGGGATTTCTTATTTCTTTTCAGAAAAAATACACTAAGAGAGAATTTGAATTATCATGATCAGGTTGTAACGTCCGAGTAAAGGGTTTCATCAGTAATCAATGTCGGTCGAAATAGACTAATATCAGGATAGGGTGGCCGATGACCGCTGATCAATCACGTGATTGTATGG